AGCAGAGTAGCTGTGGACTTGATCGGGCCACTGGCGCCTGTGTCTGACAAGGGCAACCGGTATGTGCTAACAGTATTCGACTATGTGACATGTTATCCAGAAGCAATGGCATTGCCAAAGATAGAGACAGAGAGAGTAGCAGAAGCTCTCCTGGAGATATTTTGCAGTGTAGGCTTTCTGAGAGAAATCCTGAGTGATAGAGGGACCCAGTTTACTTCAGAACTGACGCAGGAAGTGTGCAGACTCATCAGTACTCGGCAACTCTTTACCACCCCATACAATCCTAAATGTAATGGACTTTGCGAGAGAGTCAATGGAGTTTTAAAGAGTATGCTAAAAACGACGTGCCAAGAGAGACTACATGAATGGACAGGTATTTACAGGAACTATTATTCGCTTATAGAGATGTCCCACAAGCAAGTACAGGATTTTTCACCCTTTGAGTTACTTTATCGAAGAACAGTACAAGGTCTGATGCAAATATTGACAAGTTGCTATGGACTGGAGAAGAAGAATCAGAAGTAAGGAACACATACCAGTATGTGTTAGATCTCAGAAACTGACTGGAGGAAACCTGTCAACTCACTGGACAGAGTTTGTATGCAGCTCAAGAAGTTGGACAAAAGGTTTTAGTTCTGTTGCCCACAGACCATAACAAACTCACCCTGCAATGGAAAGGACCTTTTGAAGTTCAGGAAGTACTCAACAGAATGGACTACAAGGTGAATGTAAATGGGAAGACCAAGATATACCATGCCAATCTATTGAAGAAGTATTTTGGGAGAGAAGAAGACCTGATGGGTACAGCTATTGACACAGAGATGGATGTTGCAGGTATGGCCATTATAGATGCAGAGCCAGAAGACAGTGACTTTGTCTTAGAAGATGAGGACCTATTAGACCTAAGACTGCTAGGTGGAGAAGAAACATACAAAGATGTCAACATCAGTGAAGAACTGACTGGCAAGGAAAATAGAGAGTTACCAGACCTACTGTACCATTATGCAGATATCTTCACAGATAAACCAGGAAAGACAGACATTGTGCAACACAAAATCGAGACCACAACCAGGGATTCAGTCCAAGTGAAGCCCTTTCAGATGTCTTATGCAATGAGAGAGCTTATAAAGCAGGAAGTTGAGGCAATGTTGGAAGCTGGAGTAATCGAGCCTTCAATTTCAGCTTACTGTTCACCAGTTGTAATCGTGAAGAAGAGGGGTGGATCAAACCATTTCTGCATAAACTTTCGGAAGTTGAACCTCGTGACAAAGTTCGACTTTGAGCTTGTGGGCACCCCAGAGGTCATCATGGCAAGACTAAATGGGGCCAGGTTCTTTTCAGTGATCGACCTCAGTAAAGGTTACTGGCAAATCCCAATGGAGATGGGATCTAAAGAGAAGACAGCATTTGTGAAACCAGATGGATGTTACCAATTTAAACAGATGCAATATGGGTAAGTCAGTTCAGCAGCAAAATTCAACCACATGATGAGGAAGATGCTGCACAACACCATCAACATCGAGCACTATGTGAATGACATTTAGACACACACTGCAAGATGGGAAGACCATCTGAAGAGACCTAGACAACTATTCCAGCAAGTGAGGGCAGCATCCCTCACCATCAGGCCATCCAAGTGCTACATTGGATATTCTGTGCTGGAGTTTGTTGGACATAAAGTGGGGGACCAACAGATAGCCATGGAAAAGGAAAAAGGTAACCCGCATACAAGATACACCAGCTCCAATGGCGAAGCAGCAAGTCAGATCATTCTTAGGGTTAGCAGGGTACTATAGGAAATGCATATCAAATTATGCTGAAATTACTGCACCATTGACTGACCTGACCAAGAAAGGCTTACCCAACAAGGTGAAGTGGAAACAACCACACCAAGTTTCATTCAAAAATTAAAGAACATGTTGGGAAGCTCACCAATTCTTAGAATGCCAGACCTCAGCAAGCCATTTATTGTTCAGGCTGATGCTTCAGACATTGGAATTGGGATGGTACTCTTACAGGAACATGAAGATGGACTGTTTCCAATAACATATATAAGTAAAAAGCTGTTGAATAGTAAGAATAACTATTCAGTGATTGAACGAGAGTGTCTGGCTATTATATTTGCCATTCGAAAATTCCAGAACTATATATATGGGAAGGAATTCATCATCCAGACAGACCACCAACCATTTCCATACATTCATTCACAGGTGCAAGATTGACAGTGCGAGGATCATGAGGTGGGCATTGTATCTTCAGAACTACAGGTTCTGCATTGAGGCCACCAAAGGGACTGCAAATGTTGGAGCAGACTGTGTTTGAACTAAGAACAGTCTTTGTATATAGTAATATATATATATTGTTACGTCTCTGATCGTTAGTTAATTTCCCGTATAATTTCTTTCCGATGAAACTTTAGTGACACAAATCCTTTCTTAAATAAAACTGGTTTATTCTTTCTTAATACAACTTTGCAATACAATTAATTTCCACAGTCACGCTATAACAAACGCTATAATTCACAAAGAACGTCTCACGTGCTCGACTCAATCGTCAGTCTCTCTCTGTCTGCAGTTCAATTACATTGTTGCCGTCACTTCTTGGTGGCTTATGTACAAGAATACCGCATATCTAGAAAACACTCGATAATTCAGGAACTTCGAGAATATGACGTGTTACTAGAGTCACGTAACTTTCGCTGTCGTAACAATATATATATATATATTTAATATTTTATCTTGAAGAGGGGTTTGTGTTATGATATAAAAGACTGTTTGGTTTAAATATCAGTGATTCATTTATATTTGTGAGTGAATATTTTATTATTTATAAGTTATGTTATAATAAAAGTCAAAGGCATACGATTGTGGAAGGTTTTGTTCATAACTAATTGGTGTAGAGAATATAGAAAGTGGCAGACGATTATGTAATAGAGATGAATAGCGGGAAGCAGCAGACAGACAGTATTAGACAGATAAAAAGAGAATATAGTTGGTGTGAAGTTAAGTAACGTAAAAGTGATAGGCCTAACGACTGGCATAGGCCTAACGTTTGATATATATATATATTAGAGTGAAACTAACAGTGGAAAAAGAAATAATAAAAAATAAGTATTTTTCCGTCAAAGCGAAATTCTAAGGTAACTGAATCAGCCTAAGTGCACTTTGACAAAAGGATCATAGGATCTTCAGAAGAAAAACGACCACAATCATAGTAATATTGCGATAGAGAAAATAGTTGGGCTTGTCAGCTGAGATTATAAAGTAATTGAACAGGCCTAAGTGAACGACTGACAAGAAAAGAAGAACTATACATATACTGATATATGTCACAGACACCTACTGTAGAAGAATCCTAAACCCAACAACTACATAGTATATATTTTTGCTATTAACGAGTATAAATAAAAGCCATTTATTTCGACAATTGGCAAAAAACGAAACAAAACCAGAACCCATATACATATATGATATCTGATACTGGACTAAATATGGTTTTGCTCCCCAGTGGCACAGCGGCATGTCTGCGGACTTATAACGCTAGAAACCAAGTTTCGATACCCGTGGTGGGCAGAGCACAGATAGCCCTTTGTGTAGCTTTGTGCATAATTTCAAACAAACAAATATGGTTTTATAACTTTATAAAAGTCTTAATCTTAGTGCTGCGATAGATACATTTCTGACTTTTTGTGGTATGGGGATTTACTAATTCATTCAAATATGTTTCTTCATCGCAATGTAAATGTCTGAGTATGAAAATCATCCCATATTACTTATTGTTGTACTAGAAATTATTATGAATTATTCACTGAAATAGTGATTTTTGAAATGAAAAACAAAATATAGAAATTTCTAAACCATTTTTACAAATTATGAATAATCACAATGTTTTTTTTTTTAAATAGATGTTTGACATTCTAATTTGTAGAGTGATTCTAACGAATAGGAAACTAAACCTAATTTCTAGCGTATTTCTGTGATGCATTGTCGTAGAAATAGAAGGTAATAGTTGTGTAAAGAGGAAGAGTAGTTTTTAAAATTGTATATCCATATATTTTTATTAATTGTGTCATTCTGTTAAAGTGTTGACGTCATGGACTTTTATAACTAAGGTTATCTGTTTCGCTTTTATTTTTTTTTGTATAATATGTGGTGTACGTGTAGTATGTGTAACTACACACATTTCAAGCCTGTGGTTTAATTAATTTTTGTAAAATACCCATTTGTAAGTTAATTTTTTGGGATTAAAAACGACATTGTATGAGTTGAAGATTAACATTGTCGGAAGTTAAATTTATTCATTTCTTGGTGGATTACTCCAGAGGTTGTGTCGGGAAAGCCAAGGTATACCTACGCCTTAAAGTTAAACTAAAGGCTTAAGCCTAGTAATATTAGCTACGAGGATTGTATTTGTAGTTCAAGTTGGTTTGTTAATGGCATGCCTTATTTTGAGTTTAAATTTGAACTGTAACTTTTAAGAGTTCACAAACGAGTGAGAAGCTTATGTAGGATGTAGTATTAAGTGTTAAAGTTTACAGTATACATATACTGGACGTGATCAGAATTTACACGTTTTACTTTTACTTGTTTTTAATGTTATGATGTTGGTCAGCTTGCTCTGTCTTAACTTAAATTTCTAACACGTATATTTCGGAGCACTTTCCTGAGTATTTATTAACTTCAGTCCTGAATAAGTTACAGATGTATTAAAATTAAATGCAGTAGATTGTATTGTAATTAACATATGTATTGATGTTACTATTTTATATATATTTTTAGTCATGTTTACAGAATTTTTTTCTTCGAAGTATTATATTTTTTATTCATTTTTATTTGTAGATAGTACAATACTCCAGTAGTACTAGTACTACTATTAATAATACCAATACTACTACTGGAGCCTGGAACTTTCTACAATGAATAAAAAATAATAGTATTAATATCAGAAATTGCATTAAAGTTAAAGTGTACATGTTATTCACTTACCACAAAAACTAAAGTTTAAAATTAATATTCATAAAGCTGTTTAATATTAGAAAACCTAGGGTTTGACATGTATGTAGATACATACATATATATATATATATATATATAAACTAGAAACAATATTAGGAAACCTAGTGTCTAACACGTATGTAAGTATATATATATATAAAGTAGTA